GAACTCATGGTTGGCCTGGCCTGGTAGCATTATCTTTCAACCTCCCGACTGGGGAAACTGAACCTACACAAGATGGGATGGGGCAGGGTGGAGGTGGGTTTCTGGAAAATGACACAAGTTGAAAGAGAAATATGATGAACAAATTCAGTTTAACGGCTAGAAACTAAATTCTGAACACAACAATTAAATAGTATACATCATTTTCCAGGATCCATAGAACATTATAACAATCACGTTACAGTATGTATGTGATGAAAATGTCAAAAAGTAGGACTGGAGAGATGACTCAGTTTTTAAGAGTGCTGGTTGCTCTTGCAGAGGCCCCAAGTTCAGTTCCTAGCACCCACATCTGGAGGTTTACAACTGCTTGTAACTCCAGCCCCAGGGGATCTGACACCCTCTTCTGCCCTCCTCATGCACTCACACAAATAAACATACACATACACCCACAGAGACACATAAGCATACACAATAATACAAAAATTCTAAACTTTTTTTTTCAAAAAGTAATTCAACTTATACAGAACGGCTAGAAGCCATATCTGGTACAAATTACACATGAGGGCAATAGTTACTGAATATGAATCGCCATGTAGACATTCTTCAGGGCATAGTTATTATGAGCAGCTGATTGCGTACTGGATGATGGATAAAAAAGTAATAGTGACTGACCTTGAAATTTGTTACAAAACCTGGGAGAAAGAAAAAGACCAAGGCTGAAATATTGTGGGAGCATTCCATCATGCTATCAATGTCTCCAGGTGAGATTTCAGCTGGACAGATTGACACATACCTTTAGTTCCACTACTTGGTAGGCAGAGGCAGGCAGATCTCTATGAGTTAGAGGCCAGCCTGGTCTACAGAGCAAGTTCAAAGCCCGCCAAGGGCTACATAGTGAGACCAGCTCTAAAAAACAAAATAGCCTATTAAAAGATTTCAAAACTTCATGTTGTGCCAGGTTTTCACTTCTATCTAAATCTAAGACAGTTCTTAAGTAGAACACTCAGGGCATTAGTGAACTGCTACACTGTCCTTTTTATGTGTCCCTCTCTGTGAGAAAGACCTGCACTATCATCTCTCTGGTAGGTGGAATGGTGCGACAGTTTCCGCATGAGTTTCCTGTGGAGTTTGAGGCAAGATCACAGGGGAAAAATAAAATTTTTTTCAAGATATTGTTTGGTTTCACTTGCTACCACTGACAAAAATATTGGGAAGTTATTCAGCTGAAATTTGAGTCAGGTTATTAACTCATTGATTAACAACTTCTCCTTGCTAGAAATAAAATCTGATGGTTCATTTTCAAAGGTGCCTTGAGGCAGCCTAAGTCTAGCTACAAATGAACAGGAAAAACCCTGCTAATGCCTGCTAGTCTAGCTATTTCCCCATCCAAACTCTGCTCAGTTACCCCACTCACCTACCCAAACTAAAATTTTAGTAGAAAATTACTACTAGCCTAGCTTGCCTGCAATGTCATTCATCTGATAAGCTTTTAAATAAATAAAGATGCAAAATGTAGAGAAAAAAATCTCAAAATGATTCTATTAAGAAAAATACAAAGGTAAGCAACAGAGTGTAAGATAAGGCCTAATGAACAGTAAGATTGTACCCTCATGATTATTCAAAAAGGGAAGGAAGTTTGGATGTTAGGATTTATAAACTGTTCTCTACACTCAACCATTGGGTCTGCCATTCTAAGCTGAGGTCAGATTTTACAATGTCATAAAATAAACTGCTTGGCAGCTTTCACTGCTCTTAAGTCTTCAGAACACATTATGAAGTGAGGATCATTGTTTCTCTCATCCTTAGAAATATGTTTCCAAGGATATAATTTTAAAATTACAGATTTGCGATCAATTATGAAAATTTCAGATGTGGCAACATCTTCCCATTGATTTGCTTCTTCACCTATTTGGTGCCAGTTGAAGAGAGGCAAAAAGTCTTGCTTAGATTATTAAAATGCCAAAGCAAGTTATGGTAATTCCCCAAATCTCTGACAAACATAAGTCATGACTAGAGGCTTGACAATATATAAAAGACAAAGGACCCTGGAATTCTGAGAATGGCAAAATACCAGATTTACATGTGTAATCACAAAGATGATTTCTGTTATGGAAAAGCATGAATACACATAATACTGTTGAACTGTTTACTTATAATTGGTTGAAACAATGAAATTATAAGTTATCTGTCCTTTGCCATAATTCAAATAAAGAGTTCCTAGACCTGATGTCTGTTCCTGGTTACAATGTTTTACAGCTTTCTTTGGACACTGTAGATTCTTTGTGTCCCATGCCCTCTGCCATCCAACATCCATTACCTCTCAGTATTTCTGGGCCTAGAGTTTGATCATATCTTTCTGGAAGTTATTTTATTCTTTGGCATCTGTGAGACTGCCCTGTTCTTTGCTGATGTCTTGGAGACAATTTCTATTTGTTACTCTTTTCTACCTGCCTTTTCTTTTTCATAAACGGTCACATCCTTCCCCTGCCTCTCCTTGTGCCATACAGTCTTTAAATTTTCCTCGTCAAAGTACAAGTAAACCTGAAGTGCCAGGAATCAAACTTGCAGCTCTTTTCGGTTTGATATGAATATCCCATGCACTCTTCAAAGTCAGCTTACCCTCCTCATACCTCCTCCTGTGCTTTCCAGCTCAGTAATACCCACGTCCAAATCTTACTTCAAAATCTGGGATTCATACAAGGATCCTAATTCTCTTTTTAAAATTTACATTTTTTATTAATTTTTATTTAATATTTGTGTATTTCATACAGAATATCTTAATCATCTTTATGCCCCTCCCCCATCCATATACTCCCATAGCCCCCCACCAGATTTCATGCATGCTGTCATCTATATTAAGGCCTATCATATCAAGTTAATGTACCCAGATGTCACTCAGTGCAAGTTCATCCACTGGGGTCTAGTCAGTGTATCTAGACTCACTCTCTTAAAGATCAACTATTGTTCACCCAGCAGTAATCAGTTGCTAATAGCTCTTAGGCTAAGATTGGGATCTGATGCCCATTTCCACAGTTCTATGCTGAGTTTTTGTCTGCTTGAGTTTGCATGGGTCTTATGCATTCTTAAAATGTGATTGGAATGCATCTCAGTTCTGTGTTACTCCTGTGCAATGGAATGCTTACCTTATTCCCTTGGGAGAATGTTGAGGGACATTTACTTAATCATAGAAACTTAACTCAAGAGATATTAAGATTACAGTCTGATATATCTCACACATTTGGTAAACAATTAGAGTTATCTAAAAATGACATAATTGATACTATTGTCAGTGATCTATAAAAAAAATCAAACAGAACCTAAATCATAGCACAACACCAAATTGCAGTAGTTGGCCTTATGATGCAGACCATGGCTAAACAAAAATGGGGAAATGAAGGAGAACAGCAAAGAAGAGCTTAAGAATGGTCAGGGACAAGGTCCAGACATTTCTTGAAAACAAGAATGTTACGCTCGGCGGAATACCACCTTAGTCACAGATCAGAGAAAAACATAAGTCTAAGTCATGGTACTGCAAAACATAGGATGATTGTTTAATAATAAATGTAATCACCAGCTGACTAGCCTTCCTGGAAATTGTTAAAAATCTATAGATTGTGTAAGAAACTAATATACTCTTTGTAGCCTACTGATTAACTTTAAATGTAAACCTGTAGAATGTGTTTTCTTCTTTGTGAAACTAATTCTTTCATATATTCTCACACAAACACCAAGCTTACAATTGTAGTTTTGAGAGTATAAAAAGCACTACTAAAGAATTAAACTCACTCTTGTCCTCCATCAGAAGGTGGAGTCCTTTGTCTTCACTCATTCCCTTTGTCCACCAGCAGACCTGAGTCTCTACACATGCTGACACCATTGCTGTAGATTCATATTGAGCAATATCCGAGGAGCCTGAAACACTCTGGTTCCACAAGGTCATGCACCTCCTCCCCTGGCTCTTACAATCTTTCAGCACCCACTTCAGGAATGGTACCTGAGCCCTGGGTGGGTGCAGTTTTGAGACAATACTAATACATCTCTCAACTTTCATCAATCAGGCAACATATGGCAAGGAGCAGATTGCAGAATGTGGGTCTTTGGCCAAGACTCCTAATTCTCTTTTATTGTCGTGTCCACTTATCCAGAAGGCCTTATCAGTTCTCAAAATTCATCTCATTCAGTCACTGTCTTCCCCCACCCTGCCTCCTATTTGGTCTTCCTCAAGTTAATCTCTCACATCTTATTAGAATAATCATAAATTTTAAGTCCGTTTATGGGACTGGGCTAAAGGCCTCAGTAGTTTACCGTTGCTTTTAAAATTCTCATCTTAAAATTCACCACACAAAGCCCTGACTACACTTTGCTACATTTTTTTCAACTCCCAGCAATGTTTAACTCATCTATACCATCGCTTACGTTGTTCCCTCTGCCTCAGTGTCTTTCCTACTTGCTTGTGTAAGTGTCCTTCATAATTCAGTTTAGGTTTCTTCATCCATGCTCCCACAGTATAGGATGCTGCTTGCCCCACTTCACCTAACTCTAGCTAGCGCTTTCAAAGCAGGTACAAATTCTTCAACCTTCAGCCCACCGCCTCTGCCCCTAGTGCCAGGCTTGTGATTTACTCCCCGTTTTGGGTTTGGTATACTAGTTCACGCACGGGCGAGCGTACACACCACGCACACACACACGCACGCACGCACGCACAGACACACACACACACACACACACACACACACACACACACGCAGGCACGCACGCGCGCATGGGTCTGTGTGTGTGTGTGTATACGCGTGCAGGAATCGAGTGTGAATTTGAATTTCTGCAGGGTACACAGAGGACAGAAAACTGCAGTAGTTTAACACAGGATTTTTCACGTGAATTGGCTGAACACTCTACCACCTCAGACCGTGCTGGTAGTCCACATAACTCAGCAACTTGCCATTAGGGCGCATGTGTGGTGCGGCTGAGGCGGGGCCACGGAGCTCCTCCGCAGGGGGCGGGCACGCAAATACGCACGCGCAGACTGGCTAGCTAGCCTGGTAAGCAGTCCTACTGTTCCTTATCTATAGTTAGGGGAGCACGCGAGAAGGAAAAAAAAGTCCAACACTTCGGTTCCGGGGAGGGGCAGCCCGGGTGTCTCGCCTGCAACATGGAATCTGCTGGTGAACTCGAAGAGCCGGTAAGACCCTGTTCTGGGGCGGGTAGTACGCAGGCCGCGGATGCACACCGCGAGCCGCTCCTCCCTCTGATTTTTCTTCCATCCGCAGGTTTTGGGGGAAGTGATGTCCCTGGCACATGCACTCTCTCTCCCAGCGGAGTCGTATGGCAATGATGTGAGTATGACTCACCCACACCTTCTATCCACCAAGCCTGCCCGGGAGTTCTGCGAGGCCTGGCAATAAGTTAGAAGTCCCTTCCTTTTCTGGTGTCTTCCGCAGACCCCTCATGTCAGCCAAAAAGTTCACGCTCTTTCACTTCATTCTAGGCTTTGCTCACAGATGTAGTACTAATGCCTGTGGAAGTGATTCTCCAAGTTTGCTAGACCGTAGAATCGCCTGGTAAGCTTCTAGGCATCCTAGAGTCCAGGTTACAGCCCATATCTGACTGTTCCAGGGGAACAGGAACCCAAACCTAGTAGTTTTTAAAAAGACCCTGAGTGATTCCACTGTACGGCAAAATTGCACTGGTTTGTGTTGTGCCTCATTTTGATGCGTTTTGAGAGATAAAAGGAACCACCAGAATAGTAATATCACCAGATAAGAACGTAATGCATATTAGAGGAGTGCATCAGGGGTTTAGCAGGAGCGACTTCTAAGTAGATTTCACCGGGAAAGTGGAATTTGAACAGGATCCTCAACATGTTAAGTGGACAAAACAAATGGATTGACAGGTGGGAAGATTTCTTGGTCTAAGGTGTGGAGGGACAAATGCAGATAGATCTTTCTGGGGTTTATGAGGTAGACTAGCCTGTTGGAGTGGGAGACTCCAATGGAAAAGGTAGTGGGTGCTTGGTCAGACTTATAACCTAGTTGCTTCATTCACTTCCAGTGGGCAGTTGTTAGAGTCAGGCATTGGCCATCTGAAGAACAGAAGACATAGTGAAAAGTAACTTCTCTTTATCCTGCCAAACACTCGGAGTTACAGTATTACTGTAACATTTACAGCTATTTAACTCAACTGAGTTAAATATCTACTTTTTGTGTTTTTCCACACTTCCACTAGCTGCTGGAAAAGCCATCTAGTGGTTCACTGTTTTTATTATTCTATGTTGGTAGCTTCTTTTAGTCATTGTAAAGACATATTGCCCAAATCCATTAATTCAGTTTTTATACTTTGACAACAGCACCAAGTTTCATAGGCCTCTTGAAATTTAAAAAAAGATCTCCTTAATTTGTTATCCAGTAGCAGGACTGAGAGGTTTCTGAGCTGATATTCTTCACTCCTTTACAGCCTGATATTGAGATGGCTTGGGCCATGAAAGCAATGCAGCATGCAGAAGTCTATTACAGAGTGAGTTGTCTGTTTTCATCATTAACCAGAATTCAACATGTAATTCTAGTGTATAGTGCTGGCTTATCACTGTTCTCAGCAACTTAAGCCTTATGTTTTGACTACCATAAAATCTTACCTTGGGGGAGCAAGGGCAGAAGTAAATTTGATAACCAGATTTACTGTGGCACTTACAACCTTTTAAATGATTACATTCAAGATCTGGTCTGTTAATACTTCATAAAGAAGTCTTCTGCCCTGAGAACCATAAGGTTTTCTGGTGGAGTGGAACTGGAGGGTTAGAAGTGTAATAAATTAGAGACTAATATCTGTATGTTGTTTTACTGTCTGACAGCTGATTTCATCAGTTGACCCAAAGTTCCTGAAACTCACCAAAGTAGATGACCAAATCTACACTGAGTTTCGGGAAAATTTTGGGAAACTCAAGGTAGATGTATTGGACCCAGAAGAACTCAAATCAGAATCAGCTAAAGAGGTAAGAAACTTAACTATTACTGTAACATCTGGCCAATAATATTGATTGTATGTTGTCATATAAGCTTCAGATTTGTTTAAGGAACTTATATAAGGGTTTTACAGTAAGTAGGTAAATTGGGGAATGAATTATTTTCTGGCTTATGGGCTTTTTGTATTTGTTGAACCATTTTTTCCCTCTCCTTTATGACTTGGGCATTTCAGATCTTTACCTGACCATTCCTTTTAGTGGAGGAGGAAATATGTTTATTTAAGTAGGTAATTTAGCTAGAAGGATTGGCAGGGCTTGGTCAGTAAGGTTGAGGGAGTGCAGGGAAGTATTTTCATTCTCTGAACTTGTTTTCTTGGTCTGATTACAGACCACCTGCTTCTCATTGCTCATGTTACTATCTCACACTGTCACAGAGCACTGATATTATAATAGGAATTTTTTTCCTTCACAGTAGGCCCTTGGCTAATGAAGAATTTAAACCCTTAAGTCGCACAAGCTGTTGCTGATCTTTGGGAAACTGCCACTACTAAACAGAGACTTTTTAAAGTAAAACTTTATGACAAATCGCTGCCCTTTTTTGTCTCATTGGCATTTAAGTGAGAATGAATGACCATTTTGGCCTGAGCTGGCTAATAACCACAAAACAGAACAGAGAATCCATTTTAGAAATCACATTTTAATTCTGTAGTAAAAGATTTAGGTGTTTTTTTCTGGTTTAAAGAAACAATATATAGTGCAGAAATATACAATTTTCACTGTAAAGCCAGCAATCACCTCTATCCTAATCTTTCCTTTTATGGCTACTGTCCTCACTGGCGAAGCCCAACCCCTCTCCGGGTTTGAGCATTTTAGCCTCTTGGATCCATCAGCTAGGGCATCAGTTTTTGTTGTTGTTGTTGTTTACTTGTTTGTTTTTGCCTTTATAGAAGTGGAGGCCATTCTGCTTAAAATTTGAAGGGATTGTAGAAGACTATAACTACGGTACTTTGCTGAGGCTGGATTGTTCCCAGGGCTATACTGAGGAGAATACCATCTTTGGTGAGTTTCTTGCCTCTGGAATTGTTTCTGTCAGAGGAACTGAACTAGGAGTCTGGTTTAACCAACAAATCACCAACAAGTATAGTTAGCTTAGAGCTCATCTTCCTTGTATATTTCAAATTCAGGATGCCATTTCTTACACAACTGCCAGGTAAGTAAGTATTTTTATTAGCATGAGATTAGAATTCAAGATTTCTAGTTTATGACTATATTTGAATGATCTTCATCTTAGTTAAAATTGGTGGGTTTCTAGTAGGTTTACTGCATTATCTGAGACTAGGACATGAATGAATTCAATTTCGCTTTCAGCCCCTAGGATTCAATTTTTTGCAATAGAAATTGCTCGGAACAGGGAAGGCTATAACAAAGCCGTTTCTGTCAGTGTTGAGGATCAAGAAGAGAAAGGAGCTGACAAGGAAGAAGAGAAATCTGAGGAAGGAGTTGGTTGTGGAAAAGAAAAAAAGAAAGGCGTCAAAAAAGGAGAGAAGTAGAAGACTAACCAAGGTGGAGAAAAGAAAGGAGCCAAGAGGCATGTAACTCAGCTGAGCTCACAAGTATGAAGGTGCTACCTGCACAGACCCTTCTGGTTGAATGAATGCCTGTATGCAGTTGGAGGACTCAGAAGACATCTTTCTAGCTAACAATCAAAGCTGCTCTGGGCATTGGCTTGTATGAACTGGTCTAAAGATTGTTATATTGAGTTTCTAGGTTTATTGTTTCTTGATATACTGCTTCTTTTTGCTCAGTCTTGATAAGTAAGAAATTTTGTAAATAAATTCCTTTTGGTTTATATGATTATTTGTGACATTCTTTTTAAAGTATTTAAAATTATTTAACACCAGTTTTATTCAGCTATATAATCTTATCACCGTATCTCTTATAAAACTGTGTCTATTAATTCTTCAGACTGTTCTTGTTAGTGAAGTTTTCTTAAGTGGTTAAATTCTACCTGGTTTGGAGATTAAAAGTACTTATATAATAATTGACTCTTAGCCAGGCATAGTAGCTCTTACCTGAACTCCCAACATTTCAGGCAAGAGAACTGCATGTATTTGAGGTCATCCTGGGCTACAGACTGTGACTCCATCTCAAATTTTTTTTGGTCTTTTTGAGACAGGGTCTCCCTGTAGCCCCAGCTGGCCTAGAACTCAGTATGTAGACGAGGCTGGCCTTGATCACAGAGATCCACCTGCCTGTGCCTCCCGAGTGCTGGGATTAAAGGGGTAACTTTGCCATGACTCTAGTTCTCTGATTTCCTTTGCTATTTTGGAAAGATTTAAATTCAAGAACATCAGCCTAAACTGTCAGAATGGGGAGTGTAGCCCAGTTTATTATAAAAGAGCAAGAGCCTGAACTTGATTCTCTTCTAGACTTTTTGTTGTTGTATTTTGAGACACAGTCTCACTTTGTACTCTAGTCTGGCCTGGAACTCACTATGTAGACCAAGCTGGCTTCAAATTTATAATCCTGGGGGGTGGAGAGATGGCTCAGTAGTTAAGAGCATTGGCTGCTCTTAAAGAAGATGCAGGTTCAGTTCCCAATGGCAGGTAACCATCAGTAACTCTTGTTCCAGGGGATCTGACACCTTGTTCTGGCCTCTGTGGGCATTGCACACATGTGGTTCACTTATATACATGCAAGCAATACACTCACACACATAAAATACAAATAAAATGAAATTTAAAAATAAAAAATCCTCACAATCCTGGCCTGGAGAGATGGCTCAGTGGTTAAGAACACTGGTTGTTCTTACAGAAGACCCGGATTCGAATCCCAGCACCCACATGGCAGCTAACAACTGTGTGTAACTCCAGTCCCAGGGGATCTGACAGCCTCTTCTGACCTCCACAGGCATTGCACGACATGGGTGCACTTACCTACACATAGACAATACACACATATACATAAAAAAAATAAATAAAAGTTAAAAAAAAATCCTCACAATCCTGCCTGTTCTTCCTCTAATAGCTAGATTGTTACCTGAAAGCTAGTAAATAATAATAATAATAATCATGTAATGTTTGATACAGTGGTTTCCCTTTTATAATGCTGTGGACAATAGCATATATTTGATACAAACGTTATTGAGTGATATTTTTGTCACACAAAAATTATTATTAACTTTATATGGGGAAGGTGTTTCTTGTGTGGTGCTGTTTGGATGCAGCCCTGGTTATCATTACAGGTCTATTAAAGTTCCTGCATCCTCCAAGACATACTGAACTTGACTCCTGAAAATTAGAGGAAACCACAGCACTTGTAAAAACAGAAAGTACTCTTACAAGTCTAACCACATTCTTGTGTAAGAAAAGATTTATTGGACTATAGGAAGGAAAAAAGACACTTTTCCCCTTAGTAGACATAGGGGAAAAAACAAATATTAAAACTGACTGATTTGTTGTGCCCTAGGCAAGAGCTGAGCCAGAAAGGCACTGTCCTACTTTGCTTTCTGTCGCTGTGATAAAACACTGACTAATATCTTGGGGAAGAAAGGGTTTATTTCAGTGAGTCATCAATGGAAGCCAAGGCAGGAACCTGGAGGCAGGTTACTGGGCTACATTCCCCATTCTGACAGTTTGGGTTCACAGTTGAATTACCATAGAGGTAAGAAACCATAGAGGAATGCAGCTTGCTGACTTGCTTCCTTGTACAGCTCAGGCCCCACCTCCCTAAGGATGGCACCTCCCTCAGTGGGCTGGGCCATCCTACATCAATTAGTGATCAAGAGAATGTCCCACAGACAAGCCCCAGGCCCACTGAGATGGAGGAAATTCCTCAGTTGAGGCACTTTGCTCTTGCCAGGTATGTCTAGGTTTGTGTCAGGTTGACAAAAACTAACCAGCACAGGCACTAGCAGCTGTGTAGAAAGCAAATAGGTTTCTCTGTGAGTTCTTTTGATAGATTCCTAAGAATATTTGAAATATCAGTTAGAATTTTCATTTCATAAAAATGTATAGTTTTGAAATCCCTACCCAACCTAAGGAACTTTTGGCAATTGATAGCTAGCTACCGGGAGGAGGAAAGACAGTGTTTTACAGGGATGGGACACTTGGTGGGCCCAGTGAATAGACTCACACCGAAGGACATTGGGTAACACAAATAATACTCTATAGGTGATATATTATTTTCCATATTCAGTTGTAGTTCTGGTGGCTTTTTCCAGGTTGTTCACTGGCTTGACAACTGGCTTAATAACTTTGTTCAGTTTTACAGAGGATGTACTTGGAAACCAAACTGCTTTGAAGCAAGAGGTGTCTTTGAAGAAGTAGCTAATCAAAACTGGGAAAGGGAAGAGAAATAAATATACAGAACACAGATGGACCCGAAGAGGCCAGGAATCCAAGGCAGTGTCCCAGGTTAGAAGGGACAGACTTAGCAGAATGGGTCTCTGGTGCTATAAATGCATCAAGATGATTTCAGTGTCCCCAGCTTTTTCCATGCATACCTCAGTATAATTCCTTCCTGTTTAGTGTGGACAAAACCTGTGAATATGAAAGGATTTCATTCCTATGTTATGCATAATTGGGCTTATTTTTATTATTTATTTAAATTATTTAATAACCACATGATTAGAAAAAGCATTTCATTACAGCATTAACATATTCAATAATTTCCAGAGATAAGATGCATCTCTTTCAATACTGGCTGTAAATTTTTAGGTTCACAGTTGAATTATTACAGTTATACAATATTGAACTCAGTATAAACCCTATAAGACATAAAATTGAATGAGGTTTTTAACCTTTAAAAAGATCTCCATTTCATTTTAAAATATACTGTTTCATACAGGAAAAACTCATTTTGAATGCTACTAACACTTAGGTGTTTGCACATGCATCTCTAATCTCTATGTGTATGATTATTACTAGTCACAGTCGGTTACTTTCTGAGGTCCACCTGAGCATGGATATAATATTATCAGGTAGATTTCAATAGTAATGTATTTCACTTCTACTAATTAACATGGAGCAAATTTTTGTGCTTCTTCCTCAAATACAACTCACTTTTTATATTTGTTGATTTTTTTGTATGTATTTCATACAGAACATTTTTATTTTATATGAAAGAGTGTTTTGCCTGTATGTATGTGTTTGTAGAGACCAGAAGATGGCATTGGATCTCCTGAAACTGAAGTTACATGTAATTGTTAGCCACCATGAGGTGCTGAAAACCAAACCCAGATCCTCTGCAACAGCAGTAAGCACTATTCACCATTGAGACATCTCCCCAGCCTCAGTGACTTGGTTTTAAGTATAGCAAAAAGGGGCATTATCCTGGATACATTCTTGCCTAATAAGAGAATCCTTAAAGGAGACAGACAAAAGCAGTAAATGTTCTCTTGTGGAAACAAACTGCCATATTTTGAGAGGAGGAGGTAGTATGGAAAGACCTGAGGATGACCTAATTCCCTGGCTGTCAGCCCCTAAAAAAATGGGGATTTTACTTCTCAATTCTAAGGATCTGAATTCTGCAAATAACTAGTGAGCTGGTAGAGAACCTTGAGCCTCGCATGGCATTGACAGTGTGATTTTGGCCCAGTGATACCCAGAGCAGAGGGCCTAGTTAAGTGGTACCTGGAATCCTAACCCACACTCCCATGAAGTAATAAATAAATGTTGTCTTTAGCTGTAATGGTGGGTAATTAGTTACAGAGCATTAGAAAACTACAGGCTTTGGTACTAGAAGCTAAGTGCTAGACTAACCAATACCTAAAAGGTGGGAGTTGGGTCTGGAATCAGGCAATGGTTGGAAGCTAAAGAATTTTGAAGAACATGACAGAAAAAACCCAAATTGCCTTCAACAGAGAAGAGGGACTTTAAGGGTGCTGCTAGGAAGGGCTCAGAAGGAAGTGAGGGTCATGCTCCTGGAAGGGGCAGGCATGGGATTCTTAGAAGGTGGGAGCATTAGATCTAGAAGCCAGGAAGATTGAATTTTGAGTTCTTGCTCTGAATGATTTGGGAGATGTCAAGAAGGCAGGCTTCATATAGTGTGTAAACATGTGATTTATTAAAAAAATATGACAGTGTTGTAGTTATTTATCTCATTCTTTTAGAGGCAGGGAAAACAGTAATCATATGTACTTGCAGAAGGACAAACTGAAGACACTTTTAAAGTTCCGGGCAATGACTGTGTAAAATTTTGTTGCAGCAGCAGTAGAAAATGAGTGAAGGAAGCATGTCCAGGCCTACCCCCGAAGGGCTTTCAATGTACATTAGCTGGCCAGCATGCCACATAAATCCTACTGTCTCTACCTCCCAGTGCTAGGATTATAAACACACTAACTTTAAAAAAAATTTTTTTACAAAACTTTATTGAGAATTTCATACATGCATATAAGGTGTTTTGATCAAATCCATGCCCACTCCCTCCCCTCCAACATTCCCCCCTCTGAAGAAATAACCCTAAAATCTTTTAAGGATTAGATACAAGCTCCCAAATACTTTTGACATCTTTGGCCTTGGAACAGAGTATGTTGCTAACAGGCCCGAGGACATTTTGACTTTTAATCAAGAAACTGGCTATATTTCTTTGGGGTCTTTTTACCCTAACTGCCTAGCCAATTCCTACCTCCTGTTCCTATCACGCCATCCTCTGAAGAGGTTACCCAAATTCCCAATAGGGAATAGGGACGACAACTGCTCTGGCTTCTTTCATGCTGAACAGGGATGCAGGGTGAGGCAATTGGAGTACCCCTTCAGTGGGTCTATCTAAAAGACTCCCAAATTGCATAACTCTTTTCTCTAAGGGGAAAAGAAAGTCATTGAATCCTGATAGGAGATGTGAAGGAGAAGTAAA